ATCCCGCTGGGATGGTCAGGGAGGGCTTCCGAAATGACACTGCAGTTAAGACTCCGTGACAAGAAGGAGCCAGCCGCACAGAGATCTGGTGAGGAGTCTTCTTGGCGAAGGGAACAGCGAAAGCCGAGAGACTGGACAAGCCCAGCACATCTGAAGGGCTGGAGGACGCCAGCGCGGAGGAGGGCAACGGGCAGAGGGGAGGACGGGTCTGAGAGAGAGGCGGGGAGGCGCCCCTGCCCCACAGAAAGAAGAAGGCTGCACCCCAGCTCCTCTGATCCCAAATCGCACGTCCTAAAGAAAATCAAGTCAAATGTCCACATGACTCAAAACTAAAAACTAAAAACAAATCTCCGCTAGTGAAGGTAAATCAGAAAGACAAGGCCTCATCCTTCTAGATGAAGAAATAGCACTGGAAACCCTTAGAGTGTAATGCAGGCCTGGCACACGAGCTCGTTCGCTGAATGGACGCCGTGCAAAAACGATTTATCCCTATCATGTACACAGGGAGCGGGGAGTTGCTCCCAGAACCCTGGACTAATGAGACTTCTGGGCTTGAGAAAGGGAAGGGAAGATGAATCAAGGTTCATCTGATGCCACTACGCTGCTTGCACACTTAACAGCACTTGACTCCACCAGAGGACACAGGCTCGGAATTCAGAACTGCAGACATACTTAGAGAAACACACGATGCCAGACGCATGACAGGTTCCTAAGGGAAATCTGACATCAGGAAGGTAAGTTGCCTCCTGCCAGAGTCAGACTCCAGGGCTGACCCAGGGCCTGAGCTGTTCTCATGGGCTAAGCCAGTGATTTTAATTACGCCCTGAAAAGGGAAATCAATCTTCAAGGTGGGGAGCAGGCTGAGGAGGTACCCAGGATCACGGCAAAGGCACGGCCAGTGGTGAGGAGGCAAATGGCGCCTTGTAATTGATTGTATGGTGACCTGAAAGCTGTCTGACCCCGCTTCTGGAGGCCAGCCCTTGTCTTCCAGGCCTGCCTCCCCCAGACACGCAGAGTGTGTGGCTCATGCGCACCAGGGGTGCAGACATTTGTCGAATGAACGCACCAGCAGGCAGCCAGGTATGGACCGAGCAATGCAGCCCAGCTGAGGTCCCCGGAGTTGGAGGCAGAGTGAGAAGGACAACATGGCAGACGCACACGGAGGATGTGAACAGAAGTGGGCATTTGCGGACCAGCACACAAGGAAAGAGCAAAGAGGGCTGGTGAGGAAATGTCTTTGAGGAACCCCGATCCAATACTTGAAGGGCTGTCACGTGGAAAAGGAATTAGGTGTGTTCTATCAAAGCCCCAGAAATTAACTTTTGGTAGAATTTAAGGAAGAACTTCTTCCTAGAAAAGTGTTCCCCAGATTGTGTTTCATGGGATAGTGGAATGTGAGCATTCAGGAGGTGGGGTACACTGGCAGGTGGGGCAGATTCCAATTTATTCCATAGGATGTAAGTTTGGGAATCTGGGTTAATCAAAGGCAAATGGATGTTCTCACTAAAGGACACAGCTCTTAGCCATTCTCAAACTTCTGTGTTTCAACAGCTTTTCACAGGATGCTACGAGCATCTCACACAATCTCTACATTTGATCTCACCTCCGAGGAACAGAGAAATTAGAGTTGCCTGACAAAAGCATCATATGAAGAGGCCAGTGTCACATCAGCACTTGAGCACTTTTGGGACGCAGAATTCAGCACTACATAGGTGATGCAGACAGAGATGCAATCTGATAATCTGAATAGAAAACTAGAACCCAGGTTCATTCTCCTAGGGACTTTCATCCTGAATGACCAGGTAGCTGGCAGAAGGTCCTTGCACGGGAGGGTGCTGCAAAGCAGCTGTCCCTTTCTGCCTCTGGTGTCCAGCTGAGCAGGTGATATGGGTATTGCAAAGGGATCCCTCAGGCAATCAGTGCTGTTGGGTGGGAGGCGTAACGACAGCATGAGTTCTTGCAAAAGCCCACTTTGACTCTTCTCGTATGGTATTTTCTAGAACATATTGCCTGCCTGCCTGCCTTCTGCATTCATCCATCCATTCTATAGTCAGTGAAGGCCTTCCATAGCCTGGCAGTGGTGAGGAAAACCAGACGAGGTGCTGCTCTAAGACTGCCTATTGGGGAATACAGATAATGGACAAATACGTTACACAAATGATGATTTAATTAAAGTTTTCCATATATGTCACAAAGGAAATGAATGGTGCAAAACAGTAATCTACACAGAGACTTTGTCCAGTCTGGGGTTTTAGGATGGGCTCTCTAAGGGAGCACAGAGACCATGTTTTGCAGACCCTTAAATGTGCAGGTCCAAAACAAGCCTCCGTGGCATTCCTTCAGGAAACCACAGCCCAGTAGAGTTGGGAAATACCACACAGGCCAATTAAGCACAGAAGCCTCCTCTCTAGCACATACCTTATGGATGCTCTATTTGAGACTATGATTCAGTAGGCTAGGTAGGTAACCAGGTGATTCGAACGCTACTGCTCTGCAGACCATATTTAAGTAGCACTACTCTATAAGGCATTTTTAAAAACCTAAATAAATGGAGAACTAGCTATACCATGTTCATGGACTCATAAAGATGTCAAGTTTCCTTGAATTAACCCGTAAGTTCAATAGATTTCTAATCACATTCCCACAGAATTGTTTTGTTTATTGTTGTTGGTGGCATTGTTTAACCTAACAAGCTGATTCTAAAATTCATTTGGAAGACAAAACAATTCTGAAAAAGAACAAAATGAGAGACTTGCCTTGCCAGCTAAAGGCCTAAAATAAAACCATAGGTATGGTATTAACACTGATGGATAAAAAGACCAATGGAACAGAATAGAGAGTCCCAAACCAGACCTGTCCTTACAGGAAAACTATATGTAGAAGGTAGCATCACGAATCAGACAGTAAAGAATGAATTATCAATAAGTACTGCTTTAAAAAATATGGTTAATTTTAAAAACTGGATTTCTACCTCATGCCATATTAAAAACATTAAATTCCAGACAGATTAGATTCTTAAATGTAAACCAAAAACTTTAAAATTCTTAGAAGAAAATACAGAAAATGTTTACAACTTTGGGGTAGGAAAATATATCTTAAATAAGACACCAACTGTCCAAACCAAAAAGAAAACATAGACAAATCTGACTTCAATAAAATTGAAACTTCTGTACACAACATATAAATAACAATGAAAAGCCACACACTGGGAAAAGATGAGAATATCCAGAATGTATCAAGAATTCATATCTGTAAGAAAAGACAAACAATCCAAACAGAAAAGGATATGAACCTGAAGTTCACAGATGAAGAAATCAAATAGTGAAAAAACATAAAAAAATGCTTAACCTCAAAAGTAATTAGAGAAATGCAAATTTAAAATAACGAGATATCATTTCACACCCATTACAATGGCACAGCAAAAACCTCCCAGACCACGTGCTGTCCAGAATGTGGAGTAGAAATTCTCACACACTCTTATTTGGAGTGTAAATTAGATCAATCCCTTGAGAAAGCAATTTTGCCTTACCTGATACAACTGACAATGCATGTACCCCACAACCCAGCAATTCCACTCAAGAAGCAGGGACAAGACATTTGCCCAGTGCGCTTACTAATAGTGGGAAATGGGCTATAGTCTAAGTGCCCGTCAAATGGCTTTGGAGAAATACAAAGTAGACTATTCATACAATGAAACAGTCTATAGCAAAAAAAAAGAAAGAAAGAATAAACCAAAGCTACATGTACCAATATGGATACATCTCAAAACCAACATTGAGCAAAGATACAAAGTTGTTATAAAAATGTAAGTAATAGATACCATTAGTATAAAAATTTTAAATATTCAGGAAAGACCTCAGTGGTTTGGGGTACATGTACATACTAAGAACAAGTATAAAGATGTACATGAGAATAATAAACCTAAATTCAGCATAATGACCTCTAGAAAGGGAAGGAAAAGAATGGTATCTGGAAAAAGAATAAAAATCACTCTTAAAACCACTGCCCCCTCCCCACACACACATATACTACTATTAATTAGCGTCCGGGGAAGGGAGGCTTCTTCAGTGAAGCCAGGCCTTTTCATATTGAAAGCCTCAGAGAGCATCTCATCCAGCCTTCCACCCATACCGGAAACTTCTGAAGCAAAGGATCCTCCTACCTCTATAACAGAAACTCCAAAGTCGGGACCACTTTGTATGGTTATGCAGGTTGTACATTACACAGTTCTGGAGTGCACACTTCATGTTAATGATGCCTCCTCAGGTTGTTCAGTGTGCAGCTTACACAACCGTATCCAGCAGCCCTGTAACGGTCTCTGATAAAACTATGCCCATCTCAGGGAAAATGCCCATCCACACAATTACTGCTCACTTGGATTCAGACACAATCCCAGCAATGATCCACAGCCCTGCACTGGTCAAACACTTCCAGGGATGGGTGCTCACAATCTTCTGAAGTCCTTTCAGACAATGCTATGTGAGTAAGTTCTTCCCTAAGCACATTTGAAACTTTCCTCTTTTTAACCTGTATCCATTAAAGTTGATCTACTTCCTTTCCACATGACACTTCGGCTTCTGGAAGAAACAAGGAAACATGCCGCCGCCGCCCCCCGCCGCCCCCGTAGACTTCTGCTTTCTAGGCTAAATATATTCTTGCTTGACTTAGCTTATTGCAAACATGCTCTATCTTCTCTTTTGTTCAAAATGAATTTTTAAACTGTCCATCCTTTCACCAAGCACTTCCTGCCCTGATAAGCAACTAGGCATGCTGACATGTTAGCAAAGAACAAGAAAGCATTTCTCTGAGCTGCCCCCTTGGGAAACCCCTGAAGATCCCCACGCTTGCTTCTAAAGCCGCCAAATGCCCATAGAAGCCAGGAAACATTAGGCTGGAAGAAGAATCAGGCTTTTTCCAGGGGACTGGGACGGGCAAAGCCAATTGATCAGAACCCGGACAGGGCCCCACAGGCCAAGGGAGACTAGTTCTTCTCCACTTACTCCCAAAACTCCATGACGGGGGAGGTGGCATTCTGCAGGGACACATGGCTGTAGTTGCTCACGTTCAGTTTCTGGAACTCCACACAATTTTCTACAGTGGAAACAAGATAAGAAATACAAGAAAATTAACTTCCACGAGGGTCGAAGCTTAAAAAACATTCAGAGCTCATATGCAACCCGGCAGTTTCATCCATCCGCCCCCAGTAAACACGCCTCGAAGAACACTGCGGGGACAATCGATACTTCACAAACAGGTCAAGGGCCTCTGTCGTAACTTTACAGAGAGAGAGAGGTCTGATTAGAATGGAAGGAAAGGTTTTGGGGGCAGGGGACAGAGTGCCACTCTCTCCCGTTCCCACCCCATGTGCCCTAACCCTCCCAGCCTTCGTCGCCAAACTTCTTTTCTTTTCTCCACTTCCCTGCCTCCGGCCTGTCCTCGGCATTTATCTGCCGTGCTCAGTGGCCCCAGTTGGACTAGAGGCACTAAAGGACTGGGTCAGTCACGGTGTCCCTAGGGCGGAAATGCATTTGAGACTCGGTTTTCTTGTATGTAAAAAGGGGCTAATAGCACGGCTGCCTCATAAAGCCGTGGTGGCTGGAGGAAACGGCGCGGACCCACGTGGGTGGAGAATCCCTAGCCTCCTCGTCATTCCCCAGCTCCATTTACTGAATGCCTCTTCTCGTTTCATGAAACTTGATGACCAAGGGAGACCTGAATCTCAAGTAGAAACATCCGAGTTTTCATCCTTCAAGGCCCAAAGCAACTCATTAACCCCTCCTCCAGGGAGCCTTCCCTGATCTCCCTCCTTTGAATTCTACAAAAGTTGGACTTCAAAACCCCTCCAAGGAATCACCTTCTCCAACTCCCTTTACTTTGAAGAGGAAGAATCTAGGGTTCAGAAATAGTTAAGGGACCCTCATCTGTACCCTCTTCCTCCTCTATAAAGCCACCAGACAGTCAGGGACAGAAGTGAGAATAAACTCAAGCCAGGGATCCATCTCCTTTGCCATGTTATTGCCCGGTACTGTCCCCCACCATGGGACTGTGCTCCTCTGTTCACAGTGCCGTCAGGGCCACCAGCCTGTGAGCTGCCCAAGGGCAGGGCCTCTTGTACCTCTTCGCCTCGGAACACGCTACGCCCTGCACAGTGGCAGCACAGAGCTCGTGCCAGCCTCACTCTGGCACGTCTTTCTTCTCACGAACGCATGCACCCTCCTGACTACATCTGCAACCTCTGGGGGCAGGCACCACCTCTTACAGGTGATGTTTCACACGTTGCAAGTGCTCACATCCCCTTTTGAGAGAATTCCCCAATTATCTGCCTCCTTCCTGCTGCTCTTGGCAAGGGCTAAGTATATTCCGAAAGGAGGTGCTCTGGGGGTCCACAGTCAGTCCTGAGAGCAGTCTGGAGATCTGAATTGTAATGTGTAAGCAAGATGTCTGGATGTGTCCTGTGCCTTTGCTGGGGAGAAGAGCCTTTAGCTTTTATCTGATTCTCTGAAATAGTATTTCTCAAATTTTTTCCCTAGAGCAAAAACATTTCTCGGACACCCAAGGTTGAAAGTTATTTTTATTAAAATGATATTTAATCATATACAAGTAAACAATGAGTTATAAAATCTTTGTGATTATAGTATTCACGTAAAAGCAAAATTAAATTTATAAATCAAATAGCACAAAACCATACTACAAAACCAACACAATTCAAAGTGACAACAGAAAATAGATGTAGGAGTAGGCAGGAGTCAGGGTCTGCTGAGTTCAGCTGGCTCGTTCCTCCACCTCTGGTCACACTTCGGCAAACCCTTCACCCCTACGGTTTGTGGCATCCTCAGCTGGATTTCACTTAGTAACAAAGCTCTACCTGTGAATTAAATCCTCTGCTCTCTTTCTCTTGGCCACTGGCATCCTTTTGCCACAACACATCTTAAATTGCAAACATGCACAGCGTCAGGGCCTGGAATCTCCTGACTGCCCTTGGTTATAAGGTGGTTGCGCAGACGATCCAGAATGTGCACATACTTTTAGAGTATCCTCAAAATAAATACACACAATTAAATTAGCACAGAGGACTCACGGGCCTCCAAGAATATGTCCTCGAATTTTAGTTTGATAAATATCTCTATGAGGTCCCTGGCCAAAGGAAGGTTAAGAACCAGGGCCCTAAAGAGAGATTGTGAGATCTCCGCAAAATGTAACAGGCAGGGGAGAAGGGCAGAGTCGGTCACCCAGGGCTAGAGCTAGATTGCAGCACCTTCTAGGTCTAACGCCTAGTGTTCCTTCTGTTGGTGACCAACTTCTTGCCTGGTCTCACTGTATCCCAGTCTTCAGAACAGCAGGCCACTTTCAGATATAACCTAACCACGGGGTATCACACAGAGCGTGAACCAGTTAAAGTGTGTGTACCCATTCCACTCAAAAGGCAGTGGCTGTCTGGAGCACTGCTGAGAAAGGCTCTGAGGCCAAGACTAGACTGAGCAGAAAAGAGCTACAATCAATTAGTGATGTCTGCTGCAGGCACGGCTACCTTAGGAAGGAATTGGTTGGGCAGGTGTTTGCCTTCCTTGGATTATAAAACTCAGTTGTGATAGGAGGACAAATTAAAAAATGAATAATATTTCAGAATCAAAAGTAATCTAAAAGATTATCCATTCTAGGGGGTGAGGGGGCTGAATTCAAACAGTTTATCATAGCTGGGTTGGACAGGTACAGTAAATGAACAAAGTGAGCTGGGCAGGGACTGTGGCAACTCAAGGTCAGATGTGTCACCTGAAAGCAGTAGCAGCTTCTCAGCTGCAGCCATTGCTGCCAAGCAGGAATGTGCGTCTGCTGTTGCCAGATCTTTTAATTTTTTAAGAGAAGCTGGAAATATGGATTTTTTTCACGTAAGACTTCTGATTTTTAAATTTTGGCAATGAAATGCATTTTTTTTTTTTTTTAGCGACAGGGTCTTGCTCTGTCCCCAAGGCTGGAATGTAGTGGCATGATCATAGCTCACTGCAGCTTCGAACTCCTGGGCTCAAGCGATCCTCCCACCTCAGCCTCTCGAGTAGCTGAGATTACAGGTGCACACTACCACACTCAGCTAATTTTTCTATTTTTTTGTAGAGATGGGATCTTGCTATGTTGCTCAGGCTAGTCTAGAATATCTGGCTTCAAATGATCTTCCTGCTTTGGCCTCCCAAGTAGCTAGGACTACAGGTGCATACCACCATGCTTGGCTAACAAATACATTTTTTAAAATTTGCTGTTCATTGGTCCAAAGACTACCTGGCCTATAAGTCCTCTGGCTGCAGCCCTTGATCTTGTCTAACCCCTTCATTTTACAGAGGAAAACCTGACACTCAGCGAGGCAGGGCTGGAATTGGAGACCTGGGCCCCTGAATCTAAGTCTAGTGCCTCTTCTTCATACTCCCACTCTGTCCCCAAGGGGCTCAGTCCCTGAATTTGACAAAGAGAGGAAAGAACGTCACTATTCTCCTAACCATGCCAATCCCTGGGCTGACGCTCAGCTCAGGCTTCAGGGTTGCCACTCACAGAATGTACCAGACCAGGGTACATTTCAGGGACCAACCTAGAAAACTGGACTCATGATGGAAGCCAGAGGCCAGGACTGGTCTCAAGGACAGACCACACCCCCAATCCCAGGTCCCTCTGCAGGACCAGCAGAGAGACCTTCCATTGGGGCCATACCTGTGTTCCACTCATGCCCACAAGTGGCCCAGGGGAGCTCCGTGGTGAAGCAATTGCACAGGTAAAAAATGGCCCATGCCAGGATGATGATGTAGTACACATTTAGATGGGCCTCAATCACCTGCGTTGCATAGCCAATGCCTGAAAGGACAAAGGAAAGGGAGCAATTTGAGTCCCTGTGTTTTCAAAACAGGCCTCAGCTAGCTACCTTTGCAGTTAGACATTCCCTGGACAAAATTTTATTTTCTCACTAACTCAGTACATACCTTCAAATAAAGGGCAAACTTTCCTCCAACAGGTAATGCCACCTTCACTTGTGAATTGCCCCAGAGCTGTTTCCAAGAAAAAAACAGGAATTCCACAGCAAATAAAAAACACCACGTAGGGAATCAGGAATGCCCCTGCAAACATACAAAGGAATAAGATTAAAACTGTCCCTGCCATTGCATGTTTGGCACAAAAAATCTTTAATAAGCATCTACTACAGGCAAGATATAATGTCTCTGAGCTTGAATTCACGTTCCCGCTATGAGGACAGCAGTCCTTACAAAATGCAGCTGGCTTTGTGTTCTCTGCCACCTACCACCTTAAGTAAGTTTACCTCACATCTCCAAGCCTCAACTTCTTCGTCTGTAAAATGGGACTTTAGTCCTTAGTAGCCACAACACATCTCACAGAACTATTGTACGGCTAAGATGATAATGTAAAAGAAAGCATTTTATTTATTCGATTCTTTTACTTGTACATTTCATCCTCCAGCACAGGTCCAATTCATGCCTTCCCTGAATGTCGCAGGCTTCTTTTTCATTTAAAGTAACCTCAAAGGCCAGGTGAGGGGGACCCATTCCTCTTATTTACTTTGGAAGTGTCCTGCAAAAAATGTCTTCCATAAAGAAAAGCATTCTCGAGGAATTCTATAATGAGCAATATCAGGCCTCGGTTGAGCGCTCCTGCACACGAGGCCAAGGTGTGGAGTTGTGTCGTAAGGCGTCTGCAGCAAGAGTATACGCAGCACGGCTGGCTTTGAATCAGTCTGGCAAAAGACCACCCTAAGCTTTAGTGCTACTATCTTGAAACATAATACCTCCTGCCTGGGCCTTTCTGTGAAACAAATTAAATAACTGAGGTGAACATGAGTTATTACACCCAGAAGGAGTTTTTTCCCAAATCCCTCATTCTCTCTCTCCCATCTAATAACAAAGCAAGGAAACACATGCTATTCATCGCCATCTGATGTCGCAAACGAAGGCTTTAACTGAAAGCGCTTTTTGCTAAATGAAGTCTCTTTAACCACAAGGATTAATAACAACAATTTCGATCAATCCTGATAGCAGGACCACATCCACCAGGTTTTGAAAGGCTCTTAGCTCTTCTGGGCAGGTGAGTCATTTAAAGTTTCACATTGGGGAAGAAGTACTTTAAACTATTGTTGGGATCTATGAGTAGCGCAGCGTATTTTTTACAAGTTGAGAAGCAGATACTCCAACTATATTAGAAAACAAACGTTTATAAAAGAGAATAAGAGGCTCTGTTTACTGAATGTAAATCTAAGTGATTAAAACAAGCTTGTTTTTGGGCCTGGCACGGTAGCTCACGCCTGTAATCCTAGCACTCTGGGAGGCCGAGGTGGGCGGATTGTTTGAGCTCAGGAGTTCGAGACCAGCCTGAGCAAGAGCGAGACCCCGTCTCTACTAAAAATAGAAAGAAATTAATCGGACAACTAAAAATATATAGAAAAAATTAGCCGGGCATGGTGGCGCATGCCTGTAGTCCCAGCTACTCGGGAGGCTGAGGCAGAAGGATTGCTTGAGCCCAGGAGTTTGAGGTTGCTGTGAGCTAGGATGATGCTATGGCACTCTAGCCTGGGCAACACAGTGAGACTCTGTCTAAAAAAAAAAAAAAACAAGCTTGTTTTAAGATGGCAGGTCCTGTAATATTGGTATGTTATTTGCCTGTGAACCCTCTAGAATCTAACAGACGACACTGACAGCCTTTTGGCCTGTGTGTTCACAAAGCTAGTGATCCCTGCGTAACAGATCTGTGCATCCAATGGAAGCTCTTGAAAAGTTAGAGTAGGCAAAAAAAAAAAAACACCAATGACTCATTTTTAAAACTTTACTCACTACAACCGTTTTTTAAATCTGTGACAGAATTTGTAATTAACCCAATTTACCCTGTTTTCTGCTTTTAGGAATGCTTTTTGTGTTGGCATAACAATTTCCTGTTTGAAAATAATGGTAAAACAATTCGTGCCTGGGACTACCCCAAAGGGTTTCCAAGTGGACATCGCCGCTTACAAGGGCTGAATCCGCAAAGAGAAGCGGGATTCACAGCCGAGAGCACAGGGCACGTCTGGGGTCTCCAAGTCCACTCCCTCTCTCCCCTTGCCAAGCCACCAACACCGGCGGCCACTTCATTACCAGTGCAGAGCAGGCTTGGAGCAGCCTGTGCCTTCAGGATGAATGTCCCCAAAGAAAGGGCCCGGGCCAAACAGTCCCCTTCTCGCTCTCCCAGCAGCTGCTCGCACAGGAAGTCCTCTCTGCACAGCCTCACAGCATGGCCCCTGCCAGCCAGATCCTGAGCCACCTTCTTTGGGGTTGGGGAATTTGCTGGGGGGCAGGGGCACAGCAGCGAGAGGGGGGAATACACAGGCACAGGCTTTTTCTTGGAGAAACTGTGCCAGCGAAGGTTGTACAAGATCCCTTGCCACGGGCCTGCTGATATGACAGGAGCGGGTCCTGAAGGCCAGAGCCCCTTCCCTGAGCTGGGAGAGTTGTGACCCACTGCCATATCTTCTGCCAAACTAACTTTGAGATGTTGTCACTATAAATGACAGTCATCACCTTCCTTTCCCTCCCCCTTCCACATCACCCAGCATCTCACAAACATTAAATCAGTGTTGTTGCTTTTGTTGCGGGTGACTCTGAGACCAGTACAAGAAACTGCTTGGTGTCAATTCTTCCACCAGAGGGTCCAAAAATATTAGCTCTAGAAATAGCCTTAAGAGCAAACGAAAGACTAGGCAGGAAGGCAAACAGGAATGCCTCACCTGAAAGTTCTCCCTGTTGTTAGTCCCATCCCAGTTTAAAGCAAGGCCCGTGATGGCAGACCCCCATCTTTATTTCTGGCTAAGTGAGTGACTTCTCTGACCCTTAGTCTCCTCATCTGCAAAATGGGTAGACTGCTGCCTACACAGGTGACTATGAGGATGAAATGACATGATATAGGTAAAGCTTAGCATGGTGCCCGGCATTTCAGTCACCGCTCAAAAACCGGGACGGCTCAGGTAATTCTCAGTCCCTTTCTCTCAGGCCATCTCCATTTCGCAGAGCCGAGGCTCCAGGGGTCTAAGCGGCTGCTGCCCAAACACCACTGCGGTGTTTTGTTTTGCAGAGCCAGCAGCAAGGGCTCCTGGGCTCGGTCGGCACCTCATGCCGTTCATGGACAGAACGTTCCCAGCGGTCAACCCGCGTCCCGGCAGGTGGCACACTCAGGTGCGAAGCGGCACGTGCGCATGCGCACTGGCACAGGTGAGCCAAGCTCTGCGGTGAGTTCACAAGCCAGGTGGCCCGAGGTCAAGGTTCTCCGCGAGGGTCCCGCTTCACGCAGGCGCGGGAGGGGGGTCTCGCGCTCGCCCCTGGCTCCCAGCCCCCACGGCGGGTGGGGCCCCCTCCCAGCCTCCTCCCTGTCGCATGCCGCCTCACCTCCTCCATTCTTGTAGCACAGGTAGGGGAAGCGCCACACGTTGCCCAGCCCAACGATCTCCCCGGCCACGCTCAGCACGAACTCCACCTTGTTGTTCCAGTGGCCACGCTCGTGGACCGCCTTGTCGCGCTTGCCGCGCGGGTCGCGCGCGGGCGCCGCGTCCCCGCTGCCGCCGCCGCCACCCGGCGCCTCGGACTCCCGCGCCTCCTCGGCAGCCTTCCCATTGCCCAGGGGCAGCGCCTCCTCCGCCGTCATGGCCGCGCTGCCGCCTCGTGCGCCGCCCGGCTCTGCGCCGCCGCCCGGGCGGGCTGGCTTTTCAGGAGGCGCGAGCGGGCGGGAGGGGCAGGCAGGGGGTGGAGCTGAGGGACCAGGCCGGGCCGGCGCGGAGACGGGGACCGGCACGCGGCGCGCCAGCCCGGCCCGCAGGGCGCCCACGCCGCCCGGCCCGCCCGGGAGCCGCGAGCACCTCGCGCGCCGAGCACCTCGCGCGCCATCCTTCCCGCAGCCCTACCGCCGGCCTGTTAGGACAGGAGTGGAATTCAGGCCTAGGCGGGCTCTAGTCACCCATTTGGTTTTGCCACTCTCCGTGACCTTCAAACGTCTGGGCCTCGGCTTCCCCTCCCTAGTAGGAGGAGTGGACTCTAGACCAGGCTTCTGTAACTTCAACGTGCACACCAGGCACCTACCTGCAGGTCTCCTTTAAACTGTAGAGCCTGGTCTAGTAGGTCTGGGTGAGCTGGGGAGTCTGCCTTTGCAACAGGCTCCCAAGTGATGCCGGTACTGACGGTCCAGGGACTGCGCCTGAGGAAAAGGGAATCAGTGGACCCTTGGCTCCTTCCCAGCCCCCAAACACCCTGCAGGTCTTGTCCATGCTGATGTCCACTGCTTTAAACAGTGTGGCAGTTACGTGCTTGTGCCTGGAGACAGGTAATCTAAGTTGCATCTTGTGCTCCACCTGTCTTAGTTGTGTGACTTTGGCCAGTTATCTGGCCTCTCTGTGCCTCAGTTTCCTGATCGGCAAAAGGAAATACCGATAATGTCTTTCTCTTAAGTTTTTTGAGGGGTGGGTTTTGGTGAAAGGTTAATAAGTAAATGCTTATGGAGTACTTACTACATTGGAAGTGCTGAGTGAACATTAGCCATTATTAGTATTATCATACAATATGTAGACATATTTGTGCATCTTCTTACTTAATATGTGTCTCCCTACTCAACTGTAAGAATGATAAACACTGTCCCGTTCATTATACCAGCCACAGAGCCTAGCACAAGAATTGTCACATCATGTGTGCTCAGTAAATATTTGTGGCCAAAGAGGAAGGGAGGGAAGAGGGAAGAAGAAAAGGGGAAGAAGGAAGGACTGTTAGAGCCGCAGGGGGCTACAGTGATGTCATTGCACAGGCCTGGAGAAGTCCAGATGTGGGCCCTCCATCTGTCCTCAGAGCTCCCTCTGGGCTGTCTGGGACATGCTCCTTGAAGGGAGGGAAGGGGGAAGGAAGAAGAAAATGGGAAGAAGGAAGGACTGTTAGAGCCGCAGGGGGCCACAGTGATGTCATTGCACAGGCCTGGAGAAGTCCAGATGTGGGCCCTCCATCTGTCCTCGGAGCTCCCTCTGGGGCTGTCTGGGACATGCTCCTTGTCTTCTAGTCTTCAAACTCCTGCCTTCAGCTTCTTTCCTTCTGGCTCACAACTGCTCGAGTCTCTCCGCACCTCCATCCTCCCAGAAAACCCTTCCTTCCACCATCTTCCATTTCCCCTCCCCCTCACTATCATATTTCTTGAAAGAGTAAGTTGACGTGCTGCCAGCTCTGTCTTCACCTCCCACGCGTTCCTCAGCCCACGACAATCTGGCGCCCACCCCCACCACTCCTCTGAAAATGCTGTCTGTGAAGTTCCCGACACCCTCTGATTTTGGCAAATCCTACAGCTCCTTTCCCAGCCCCATCCTGCCTGGCCTCTAGGTAACTTCGGCACCGTTATTTCCTCCTCTCCTTCTTATGGTTCCTGCTGGCCTGGCATGGTTTCCTTGATGTTGCCTGCCTCTGCTACTCTTCCTCTCCCTGCTTCTCTGCTTCTCCTTTCTCTCTCCTTAAATTTGGCCTTTTTCATACCTTGAGCCACCCAACTAAATGCTGATGCCTCCCAAACCTCTCTCCCCCTGTGATGCCCAGGTTATGTTCAAAAGCAAAGATCCTACAGAGCGTTCAGGGTGAGAATAACTGAGTTCAGATCGATGTGGCTTCACATCCAGGCTCTGCCCCTTAGAAGTTCTGTTACCTCTTGGCCTCAGGCTCCTTCTCTGTCCGGTGGGTTCTGACCTCGCAGGGTGGTGTGGGGATTAAAAGCCTCAGTAGGCTCTCTGCAAACAGTAGCTCTCCTTTTTATTGTGAGGAGGAGGAGGAGGATGGAGATGTCCTTCCCTTGCTTAAAAGCCTTCATCAGACCTTTTCCTACAAGATAAACCAAATTGCTACCCTGGTATTCAAAATTCCCTCGCAATCTGATTGTCCCACCCTTGCCTTCTAACTTCATGCCATTTTTCTCCCATGCTAAAATATGCGCGTTTTCATTTTCTTTTGGTTGATCCCTGATGCTGCATATAGAATGGGCAATAAAAGAAGGAATTCATCTTTGACCTCGATAGTCCTTGCACACAATAGGCACATAGTAGCTAGGAGTCAATTTATCAAATGAACAACTACATTGCAAACTAGTGCAACCTCTGTGGAAAGCAATATGGAGATACCTTAAAGAGTTACAAGTAGAACTACCATTTGATCCAGCAATCCCATTACTGGGCATCTACCCAAAAGAACAAAAGACACTCTATAAAAAAGACACCTGCACCCGAATGTTCATAGCACCACAATTCACAATTGCAAAGATGTGGAAACAACCCAAGTGCCCATCAATACATGAGGGGATTAATAAAATGTGGTATATGTATACCATGGAGTACTATTCAGCTCTAAGAAACAATGGTGATATAGCACCTCTTGTATTCTCCTGGATAGAGCTGGAACACATTCTACTAAGTGAAGTATCCCAAGAATGGAAAATAAGCACCACGTGTACTCACCAGCAAATTGGTTTCATTGATCAACACCTAAGTGTACATATAGGAATAACATTTACTGGGTGTCGGGCAGGGGGGAGGGGGGAGGAGGAGATGGGTATATGCATACATAATGAGTGCAATGCGCACCATCTGGGGGATGGACACGCTTGAAGCTCTGACTTGGGGGGGTAAGGGAAACATACGTAACCTAAACATCTGTACCCCCATAATATGCTAAAATAAAAAAGTAATAATAATAAAAAATAAATAAATGAAGAACTACATCAAAAGTTAGACATATTCCTGAATCTTATTACTGCAGTATTAGGCAATCACCCCAGACTCTGTGTAAACCGCCTTCAAGTCTAATCTCATCTTCGCTTCGTTCTGGTGCTCGGCATCATCAGCTGCAGGAAGTGACTTCCTCTGAGCAGCTGTGATTCCACCAGACACTCTAGGGAAGTGACACTGAACCAGTGTGAGAGGGCTGGGGCTGGCCATCGTCTGGTCTGGGACCCAGCCTGAGTTCTGCTGACAAATAGCTCTGTGGCCTTGGGTACATCACCCAATCTCTCTGAGCTTTGGTGTCCTCATTTCATTCCCACAAGCAGGATTATCCCCATGTCCCAGGGTGGTCTTCAATGTGCGATGAGACCACATGCAGGGAAGAACACCGTACAAATAGTAATGTCACATCCCCTCCTTCATTCCAGGGCCTCATCTCTGGGCCGTTTCCACCTCATTGTTTCTCTGTTGAGCTGCAGCGCCTGAAGAGCACACACCCAGTGTCAGCGGAGTGGGTGGACTTGGATGGGACACAAATAGACACACATCTCATCTCCAGAGCTGACCCTGGTGCAGCACAGCAGAATGGGTAAGAACGTCACCCTGCTTGGTTTCAAAGCCAGCTCCAAATGACCTTAGCAAATGACTTCATGTGTCTTAGTCTCAGTTTCCTTATCTGGAAAATGGAGGTACTAATAGTATCTATCTTTTAAATGTTACAGGGATTAAGTGGGTTAGTATTTGTACAGCACTTGGATTTGTGCCTGGTAGGGACGTGTTTGTTAAATAAATATTTACACACAGTCTTCAGAGAACAGAAATGTCATGCTTCCCTTATTCCTTCCTTAGGACAAGCATTCAAAGTCTTTTATCTCCTGGAAACAGCAGTTTGTGTCCTGAAGGCTCATTTAAACGTCAGTCTTGTTCATTCATTCATTCACCAAATACTTCTGGCTGTTCAATTATTTTCCAGATGTGATATTGGTCCCTAGGGAGCTATACCAGACACAAGGCTGGCCTCAGTGGTATGCTGGGGTTGGCTCACACTGGCTCACGAGAGCCAATTATTGCATCTTCAGGGATTTGCCAGCCACAGTTGCTGGTGTCCTGAAATCTGCAATGGCGGTTGCACTTACACCATGGGAAACTGCAAACACTGCAGATCAGCTCCACCCTCACTGCCAGTGTGCCAGCTCACCATTACAGGATGGCAAAGGAGGCGGATATTAATCAAGCAATTGCAGAAATGAATGGAAAGTCAGAGGTCCTGGGAGTTGTGCAAAGGAGAGGTCTGCAGTGCTGGGAGAGCTTGCACCGAGCAGTCTGACCTTGTCAAGGAGACCAGAGAGGGCTCCCTGAGCAAGTGACAGATGAGCAGAAGCCTGAAGGCAGAAGAACAGTGACCTGGACGGGGAGGGGGCTGGGGTCCTGGAGGATGCTCGCCAGGGTTGAGGCTGGCGCACATGCTGTGGAACGAGATGTGCCTGAAGGTGAAGTGTCGTTAGCAGTGGGCGACGTGAGAGCACATTCCCACTGAGCAAAGATGGCTGTTGCCACAGTGGGGAAAGCGGATTATAGGACGGGGTGGAGGAGTGGTGAAAAGGCTGCTGCAGTGTCCAGGCAAGAGGTGACAGCAGCTGAGACCAGGAAGAGGAGAGTGATGTCGAAGGGATGAAGTCCGCAGGACTTGGCCCAGGACTGGATGCGAGGGTGGGGGAAGGGAAGGTGTCAAGTTTATCTCCTTGGTTGGGAGAAGGACAGCGTCCCTTTGAGAGGGTGATAGTACTGCTTGACTTTGTGCCAGGATGCCCACAGTTGCCTCGCTTAGGGTGTGATAAACCAGAATCACTGGGCCAGGGGACTGTCCCCAAATGTGTGAATGGTTGCTGAACTAAAACCTACGTGGCAGAACCAGACTCAAAGAGAGGAAGCAGAACGGAGTTAGGTGCCAGAAGAACTTCCTACAAGT